AGCCCTAATAATAATATTTGAAGATAAAAAGTAATTACTTTTCAATTATTTTTTAATAAAATTAATTTTCTATTATTAGATAAATTAATATTTCATACATTTCATCCTCTTATTTAGCATATCTAATAATTACAAATTGGTGTTTTATTTTATCCATTATTACTTTGCATTATTTTTTTCAATTTATTTTAGGCTTTGGTCCCTACCATTAGGACCATAGGAGTGCAAATGGACCCCAATCTAATCCTATTTTGTTGGATTCAAAATTTCCCCTCTTTTGGATTTTGGATCGGATCGGAGCAGATAATAGGATTCAATTATAAATCATGGAATTCGCATCACCCCTATCCAATATGTGTAAATTATATATATATATATATATATAATGAAAATAATAATTATAAAATTATTGTAATTTTAGATTTTGAATCCGATCCGATCTGTTTGCATCTGTAGCTATTATAATGTCGAATGTGGTGTGGCGGAGAAAGATATAAGTGGGTATGGATTGATCGATGCCACCATCARATGTCCAGATCCCCACCCACCAATTTTCTTTTCGACGTTAACAAAGAACAGAAAACCTCACTCATCAATGTGCATTGACGCCGATCTCTTTGAATGTTGAAGGTTTGACACTATGGAAATTTTTGTCTAGACTGTTAAAAAGTCCGATACTTTGCAGAATTTATATTTTATAATATACTCTGAGAGAGAACGGGACAAAGAGAAGAGAAAATAATGGAGGTCAGGGCTCGAGCTCCCGGAAAAATTATACTTTCCGGCGAACACGCCGTTGTCCATGGATCAACTGCCGTGGCCGCTTCTATCAATCTTTACACTCAAGTTTCTCTTCGGATTGCTGGTGATTCTGGTATTAGTTTTCMCCTTAAAATCTGTTCACATGCTTGTTCTCGCTCTTTGTATCTATTTACTTAAGTAGAAACCTATAGCATTCAGATATCAGTTCATTGCACATTTAGTTTGGTTGTTCCTTTCTGGTTTTAATGAATGGTTCAATGGAAACAAAACTATAAATCGGATTGATGGTTATGGGGTTTCATCAAGAATTACATAATTCATGTTCATTCTGAACTTTGGTCCTTTTCCTCTGTGCAAGAACATCGATTTTCTTCTTGGCTTTTATCATCAACAATGTTCTGTTCTTGTTCTTTTTTTTATTTTTTTTTTCGTGCAAGTATTACAGCTACTGGTTATTTTGCCGATCGCTTTTAAAATAAAGATTATCAAAAAGCAATTTTCACTCCAGAGTCCAGCTTATTTCGAGCCGTTTTTTTTTCTTTTTTCTTTTTTCCCCCTTCTTCCCTCTCCCCTAAATCCCTTAGATGACGGTAACTAATGTGCCCATCTTATTTAAAGCTTTTTTCTTTTATCTCCTGCCATTCCTCTAAATCCCTTGCGAATCTGTTTATACCAATTTGTATTGTGGAAAATGATGATACGTTGATCAAATTTTTATCTGTTGATTTACTTTGGGGTCTCTGTTTGCTATATTTTATGAAAGTATTATATATTTTCTGCAGAGAGTGGTGACAGATTACTAAAACTTCAGCTCAAGGATGTTGTCGCTTTTAAAATAAAGATTATCAAAAAGCAATTTTCACTCCAGAGTCCAGCTTATTTCGAGCCGTTTTTTTTTCTTTTTTCTTTTTTCCCCCTTCTTCCCTCTCCCCTAAATCCCTTAGATGACGGTAACTAATGTGCCCATCTTATTTAAAGCTTTTTTCTTTTATCTCCTGCCATTCCTCTAAATCCCTTGCGAATCTGTTTATACCAATTTGTATTGTGGAAAATGATGATACGTTGATCAAATTTTTATCTGTTGATTTACTTTGGGGTCTCTGTTTGCTATATTTTATGAAAGTATTATATATTTTCTGCAGAGAGTGGTGACAGATTACTAAAACTTCAGCTCAAGGATGTTGGATTAGAATTTTCTTGGCCAACTGGAAGAGTCAGAGAAGCACTTCCTGAGTTGAGTACTCCTTCTGCCTCATCACCAACAACATGCTCACCAGAATTCATGAAATCAATTGCTGCTCTTGTCGAGGAACAGAATATTCCAGAGGCAAATGGAGGGCTAGCTGCTGGAGTTTCAGCTTTCCTTTGGCTATATGCCTCAATCCAGGGGTATGGATTAAAAGTAGGACTTGTCTGATAGTCTCCTTGCTTGCAATTTTCTCTTATTGAGTCTTGTTTGGTTGGTTGGTTCCTTTTATTTGTAAGTTGTAAGCCTGCAACAGTCGTTGTCACTTCTGATCTTCCTCTCGGTGCGGGTTTGGGTTCATCTGCTGCTTTCTGCGTCGCACTTTCTGGTGCTTTTCTTGCACTGTCAGATGCTGTCAGTTGGAATGTGGATCTCAACCACCCAGCATGGTTATCATTTGGTGAGAATGATCTTGAATTGATAAACAGATGGGCTTTTGAAGGTGAAAAGATAATTCATGGCAAGCCATCTGGAGTTGACAACACAGTAAGCACATTTGGTATGTGATCTTAAGCAGTTTTATTACGTGAATTTATTTTCTTAGGAACGGTTTGAATTAAGAACTTTCTTGCCCTCTCCTCTCCCAAGAGATAAATATACATGCATGCTTAATTCCCCATTACAAATCAAATATTCAATAAAGAAAGTCCACTCTGACATAATTGTTTCAAAGAAAAAGTTGATTTTTCTTGCCGATTTCATTTTATGACAACTGTAGTATTTCTTAGAGGATTACTGTCTTGATTTTTTTCTGTAATTGGAGTATAAATAACAGGCAACATGATCATGTTCAAGTCGGGCAATTTGACTCGCATCAAACCCAATGTGCCTTTGAGAATGCTCATTACTAACACAAGGGTTGGGAGGAATACCAAGGCACTTGTTGCTGGTGTGTCAGAGAGGACCCTCAGGCACCCAGATGCCATGACTTATGTGTTTAATGCTATTGATTCTATCAGCAAGGAATTATCTTCAATTATCCAGTTACCTGCCCCCAGTGAAGTGGCTGTGACTGAGAAGGAAGCAAAGCTAGAAGAGTTGATGGAAATGAATCAGGGAATGCTCCAATGCATAGGGGTCAGCCACACATCCATAGAGGCTGTGCTTCAAACAACTTTGAAGTACAAGTTAACTTCCAAGTTGACAGGGGCTGGGGGTGGAGGTTGCGTTCTGACATTGTTACCATCGCGTATCCAATTTCTTATGCATCTTTCTATATTTATTATGGCTACTTGGTTCTTTCTATAATTTTCACTTCCATCTTTTATAATAAATGTCATAATAGAACCTAATCTATTATTTTTAGATTCTCGAAACTTACTATATTTCATAGTTCATACAGATCTTCTTCCAGTATTTGCTTTCTATCAATATGGTTATCTTTATAATTATGGCCATAGCCATTCAACTAGGTGTTTCCACATCCAATATATTCAAAATTCTAGGATGACTTAAATGTCTGCTATGATAACATGTGGTTGCATCCTATTCTGATGTATTTGCATGTAATTTTGGTCTGTTTGTTGGAAAAGCATACTCTCCTTTTATGTTGATTGTCATTCTACTCTATGAAATACAGTTACAACAACAAAATGAGGTTATTTAATTTTAATCATTCAAAAATGAATGGAGCATGAATGACAGTTTGCTTTGTGGAGTTTTTCTTAAGTTTGTAGATTGTGTGTGTGTGTGTGTGTGTGTGGTGTCCAAGTATGAATTGCCTTCTTTAAATACAGTACTCTCTCTTGTGTTTTGGCTGTCCTTATGCTTTTTCTCTTTTTTAATAGTTAACAAATCTTACATCCTTTATTTATAGAAAAAGGAAAAGAATGGAGCATCATTTTTCTCTTGAGAGCAAAAATAGAKAGTAAGAAATGGACTTGCCACAAAAATATGATGTTGATCAGCATTAAGTARATGTTAATTGAACTGCATATGTGAAACCTTATGAGTAGATTGTAGGTGAGATCTTGAGGACCTGAGTCTAATTAATATTGAGAAGACTGAAGAGTTGATCAAGAGGTGAACAGGATAATATTAGTGGGGTGATAGACACGGTTGAACCTATTGAAATTGTAAGGTTAAATGAAAGTCTGGTCTTTGCCAGTTGTCAAAAAGCTAACCAGATATGACACTGGAAACAGGAGAACATGACTGCATGGTGGGAAATACAAGCAGCACAGAGAAGCTCAGACATAGATTAGAGTACGTCCTAAATATTTCACTTAAATGTTGGCACATGATTAGAGCTTGTTTAATTTTATGCATCTGGTCTATAGTTGATCTACCATCCACAAATGTATGCTAACCGTTTTATCTATAATATATACAGAAAAACATAAAATATATATAGACTACTAATACACATTTCAAGAAAATTATTTTTTGAAGAAAGACCAATGCTAATTTGTAAACAAATGTGAAAACATGAAATTGAAGGGAAATATATTATTTGCATGGGAACACCTACATATTTTCAAAATAGATATTTTTTCTCCACGGTGTCAGGCAGTCTCTCTTTCCTTTTTTTTTGGTAATACTCTCTTTCCTATTTAAGTAACCACCATTTCACTGCAATGTGGAGTGATGATGTGGACCATCCAGGTGGACCTTTTGCACAGGCAACCTGTGCACTTCCATTTAGATGATCAGCCATTATTTGTATTTCATTGTTCCCATGTGAATAATGACCTTTGAGTTTTGCTTTTATGTTTCTTAAAAATGTGGCCAGAAAAGATGTTTCTCTTTCTGGTCAGTGGCAAGCATGATATTAAGTTAAAATGTACTATATTTGTTTAGGGTGAATTGTCGAATACATGCAGAGATGTCTTTTACCATCCCTAGCTGCCACATGTAAGAATTCTGTCCTGTACTAACTCCTCTGCTACATAATTGGTGCAGCAGTTTCTATCAACTTCTTATGTAGTTCTTCGTATTTCACTTTTGGTTATCAGTTTTCTATCAGCTTGTCCATGATCAAATATATCATTGTTTTAGCACATCTACTGCTAAATAAGATACACCACAAATATATCCTAATTTTGGTCATCAAAGCAATTACTGATATCAGTTCTAAAATATGCAGACAATTAAATAGAATATGTGGAATCACAATACTATTCGTGGACTGGATATGTACCCAACCTCTGGTATTTTTTCTATATGAAGTGACTGCTCTTGGACTTGAACCCATGTAACCATGCATGTCATCCAAAGATTTTACCATAATACAAAGCAATGGCCCCTTCTCAGTGTAAATCTAAAGTGCTCCAGAAAGTTGATTAACAAAATTCCTATAAGAAATAATAATCTAGAATCCACACATGCATGTAGTTGACAAAAGTGGGAAGTTTGTTCCCAACTGTCTGTGTCATTCCCTAAACCAAGGGTTTTTTAAGGAAACCTGAAAAAAAAAAAGAATTTAGATTTAAGAATCATTTCTGCATTAGGCACTCGATTCTTTTAATAATAGTGGAGATACATGCAAACCTGATGGAATGGAAGATAAAATGTAAATTAAGTTAACCCAGCTCCTCCATGTAAGAAACTAAATATCAGAAAGACAAAAGACATTGAGATGTTGGTAGAACCAACCAGCTATTAGGACAAAGCAGTCTAAAAGTATTTCCCAATTAAGATTAGAACTCAAAAGATGGTGTATTCCCTCCATATAATGCTGAGGTTCTTTTCAAATTCTGCATTCAGTCATGAGATCCTTGACCATATGTATCAGTGCTAGCAGGAAATGTTGTGGATAAAGTCATTGCTGAGCTAGAATCATGCGGATTCCAATGCCTGATTGCTGGAATTGGTGGAAATGGTGTTGAAGTCTGTTTCAACAGTCGTCCTGACTTTTTCTGAGGACTGGTACTAGATCAAAGTAAGATTTATGATGAACATCAAATAATGAAACATTGTTTGTGCTTTCTATATCTATTTTTGTTTTTATTATTTGTATTTTTTTTTTGAAAGGTGAAATAGTATTGTGTTGATGTATAAAGGGAGGGGGAAAGCCCCACCCAAAATCCGATGATCTGTACGTCTAGCTAGCATAAATTACAAAATCATTATCCACAATAATTTAATACGATCGATTTCAGAAATGAGAAAGATTGAGATTTGAGAGCTCCTTGGCCTCCTGATATGCCCATACAGTGGGTGTTTTGAGATCTGACCTGGTTCAGGGGGTAGATGGGCATTAAACCGACCCTTCTGAACCAGTTTGAAAAAAAAAAACTAAAAAAAAATAAAAGTGGGCCAATCGTATTGGCCTGTATCGATATTTTGAACCTTGCAAAAAACTATTAACCTCTTCATATGGCCAATTTCGCTGGCTTTCCCTTTGAATATCCTGCTGTTTTTCCTTGCCATATCTCCAAACACCACAAAAGGAGCGAACTTCCATAACAGAAAACCTTTTTGCTGAAACCACCAGTAGGCTAAGATGCAGTAAGGGATTCCCGGTCCTTTGAAAACACCCATTACTCCGAATAATTGAGGAAACTATATCCATATACTGTTGGAAATCTTGCAATGAACTAAATGATGATGAACTGGTTCTTCTTCAAGGTTGCACAAGGTACATGAGCTGGGGACCTCCATTCCATTAGATCAGATGGTTTCTACTGAGAATTCTATCTAGTATGGCTTTCTGCAAGAAGAAGATCACCTTTGGGGGGCTTTGAACCTTCATATCCACCTCAATGCCACCATAATTCCAGAAGGCTCCAACAGCTGCTGTAGAATGAGCAAACTGGGATCTAGCCTAATTTTTCTGCAGAGCATACTAGTTGATCTTCTGAATCCATATGAGGTTGAACCTTGTTAATTGACACCAGCAATGACATCAGCTCTTACAAGGGACTAGTACCACACCAGGTATCCTTCCAGAACAGAACCCTGTCCCCTTTTCCGAGATTGAACTTTATGAATTATGAGAAATCCTCTAGATCTTCATTACCCCTTTTTAAATGCTTGATCTTTAGGTTTGATGAGGTGTAAGCGTGTGCTAGTACGCCCATATTTAGCTTGGATCAGCTTCCTCCACAGCATCTCTTTTCTGAGGCTATACTCCAAACCAACCTAACAAATCTTTATTTATAAGCTTTAGATGCCAAATGCCAATACGTCCCCTTCTTTGGGAATGCAAGCCTGATTCCAAACAACCAAAAGAAATTTCTTTACATCACGTAGAACATCCAACAGAAAGTACTTTGTCAATTTCTCCAAAATATTGATAACTGGAGTTATGAACAAAGGAAGATAATAAATTGAAAGGTTTAAAAGAGCACTTTCAATAAGAGTGAGCTTTCCACCTCTAGATAAGTAACTTCTTTTCCACCCTACCAGCTTCCTCTGGACCTTTTCAATCATTGAATTCCATAGCTCCATTGGATTTGTAGTTGGAACCCAAAGGAAGACCAACGAATTTAGGGGGTGTTTTTTTTCTGGATTTTAAGAGCGAAAGTTGGTTGATGGGATTTTGATTCCCATTGACCAAGAATATCATGTTCTTTTTTTCAGTGTTATGTGGGAAGTAGGAAAGTTTATTTTCCTAGGTATCACTTACCCAGGTAAGCGATACCCATCTCCTAAATGGGTAAATAACTTTCCCACTTGAGGGAAAATTGTCAACACTTGAATGGGACAAAAATATCCTTTTAATAATGGATTTTTATGGTTAAAATAGTCATTGCCCTATTTATATGGGAAATAAAAGAACATGGGTAAATGCAGTTTGGAAGGTAAGTCTTTTCTGGGAAGCACTTACCCGAATAAATGCATTTACCCAGGAAAGTAACTTACCAAAAAACAAACAGGGCCTTAGAGGGAAGCAACCCAACTCTACAGCCCAAGGTTTCAGCAAGAACAAGTACTTGAGTCACCTCTCCAATTTGAATCAATTCACTTTTGAGAATGTTGATTTTCAATCCTGACGCAGCTTCAAAGCATAGCAGCATATATATCTCATCAAGAAAAGCATGTCCAAGTTCCTTGCTCTTTTCCAAAAGGCACTTATATTAGAGCTTGATGGTTTTGTATATCCATTTTCTAGTGTTCAATTCTAGAATTTTCAATTGCCAAGGATGCTATGCACTTCCAAGTTCCAGGATAATGGGCCCGACCCTGTCAAGTGCAGCGAGAACTTGGCTTCTTAATAGGATTAACGATACAACATCCCCAGTGATAACATAATTGAGATTCAGTTCTTTGGCTGGTACATATCTTTCTTGCATTAGGGGTAATCTTAACCCAGGCCCAGGTTGGGCTTCTAAGCATACAAGATTATATAATGTATATATATATATATATATAATGGGCCCGACCCTGTCAAGTGCAGCGAGAACTTGGCTTCTTAATAGGATTAACGATACAACATCCCCAGTCATAGCATAATTGAGATTCAGTTCTTTGGCTGGTACATATCTTTCTTGCATTAGGGGTAATCTTATATATATATATATATATATATATATATGATGTGGGGTGACCCAACCCAGCCCATTTGAGGCTGGGAGGCCCAGCCCACGAGCGTCAGGTCAGGGAATGAGATTCGCTATAGCAGGGGTTATCCTGCCTCCATCGTATAAAGCCAACGACAATGCGTTTGCATGACCCTGCCTAAGTCGTTGCAGGCCCTTGTACGACTCCTATCTCAGGCGTTCATCTCCGCCTACCTCTAGGCGGCTCGAGTATAAATAAGGGTACCTCCCTCCGGGTAAGGGGGTTACAAACTCTAGACCAACAGCTATCGTCATAAGGGCTATTGCAGTAACTACTGTTGGGACTTTATTCTAGAACTGCCTACCCTGGTACTCTCCCTTCGTACCCTGTATTAACTTGACCGT